GGGAGGGGCCACTGAGGAAGAAAGAAGTCTAGCTCATGCCCAGACCCTGGACTGCTGCCACTGTGTGGCTGGTTGTGCCATTTCTGGAACCAGTGAGCATGGGCCATGGAGCAGTTTGGAGAGGAAGCTGGAGAGTTCAAGTTTGGTGCCCTGAGGCCTAGGTGCCTGGGGGCCCCCAGGGCAAATTGCCCAGTAGGGGAGTTAACACCTGGTTTGTGCTCTAGTCCTGGCCTGTGGGCACAGTCTGCATTGGGGGGGGGGGGGGGGGGCGGTTGGTGGTTGGTGGTTAGCTATTTGGGTTTTTTGGTTAGGCAGCGGGCAGTGCACTTAACTTTCAGCCTCTCTTTTCCAGATCCATACCCTCCAAGCAGGCCTCCTAATGAAATGGTTTCTTTCTGATAGATTTTTCATCATAAGACAATTTTAACATAAAAGCAATGTTAATAAAAACCAAATGTTAGCTCAGGCCTTCCAGTAAATCATAATAGATTAGATGCTGTACCGAAATGAATATCCCACAGTAGAAAGGGTTGACCGGTGGAGGAAGGTTCTCGTGATTCAATTGGGCCACATAATGAATTCTAGTTCATATCTGTAATAGAAAATACGGCCTTCTCTCTTTTGTCAGGTCTGCAGAGCCTGGGCCTAAGGAGCGGGTGGGTGAGATTTACAGCTTTTGTATTCTTAAAGGTTCCCCCACTCCACCCTCCACCCTTCTGCTCCTGCCCCTCCATTTATTATTGTTTACCCAAGAGGAATGGGGCTTGTTCTGCTTTACTCAGAAGTTACTGGAACATAGATGAGAGGTATGGGAAAGGTTGATAGGTAATAGGATAAAGAAAGGCTTTTGCCATGCAGAGAGCTGGCAAAATAACATTTTGAATCTCAACTGACACATAATCAGAACTGGAAGTACATTGGAAATCAGCCCAACATCTGGTTAGCTTTCGAAATAGTTGGTCTGTAGTCTTCCAAAGCTGGCAGTGCTTGTGTGACTATAGCCAGGGAAACCTTGTGTGGTCAGAAGAAAAATTATTTTAACCATTATTTACCTAGCATTGTTGTGGTCTCTTTATCTAGGTTTGATTGTCTCCTTCTTATGTAATCTCGATCTGGGTCTTTTTCACCCTTTCCTGGGGACTACTGCAGAGGAAGGATCCAGAAATCAGAGCTTAGAGAGGGAAGCTTAGTAACTGGTTATTGACATCTTAGAACCACACCCTTCCCTTCTTTTTAGATTCTTTGAATTAGTTGGGAGTTCCACCCCCACCACACCCCCAACCCTGGGGTTGTTGGGTGGAAGCAATGAAAAGGAGAAACTTGTTCTGACTCCTCTGGGCAAAGCAGGATCTGACTCTGGCCAGAAGGGAGCAAGGAAGCTTGTGGTTTGCTGGAAGTCTGAAGTTGCTAGTGTGTCCTCCTGGGCCATGTAAAGTGCACCTGGGATTCTTTGGAATTTGTCAGCCCTTTTAAGGGTTGAAGCAAGTAGAACAATATATCCTCCAGTGTTTATTTCAGTCAGACGGAAATGGCTAGCAAGGAAACTCAATCAAGTTTGCAACAAAATCCACCTTTCGTGACTGAACATGCACACGCATATGTCTGCCTGTGCACATGTGTGCCATTTTCCCTTTCGTATGTGTATCCTTGTCATATGTGACATTGACCTTGTTCATTCAGCACTGTCACCTATCATTTTGTTTGGATCCGGAAGACTGTCTGGAGCTTTTGAATCGCTGCACAGGCCTTAAAAGCCCATTGCCAATGGCAATGGGATAATTCAAAGTAACACAAGGGGTTTTAGAGGCCATGGTAGAAAAAAAGAGAGACAGGAGGAGGAAATGAGGCACCTGGCCCAGAAGGAACTTTGGGGAAAGAATGAGGGTGTCCAAGGGTTTTTTTAGATAAAGTTTTGGCATATGTTGCATGGAATCAATCCTGCTCTCTCTTTCTCTGTGGCTGGTGATAAAATCCACCTCACATGGAATGTGTTAAAATGCCAAGTCTTTTTGGAGGAAAGTGTCGAAAGGGTGGAGAACCCTCTGGATGCTGACGAGAACCCTGGGGCACAGTTACTGTAATTATCCCATTGCACAGGTAAAGAGGCTGAAGTTTGAAGAGGTTAAGTATCAGAATTAAATTCCTTCAGCACTTTGCACTCAGCTCTCCCCACCTCCACCTGACCCCAGAGGAGACTGAGCCCAAGAGCACCACGAGACCCTGGAGGTGGTGGCTGGCGTCAGCACGGAGGCCAGGCCCCTCGTGCACTGCCCCTGCCCATGTGGATCCTGTCCACCTTTGTAATCTCATTCTGGTTCTAACCGTGTCTCTAACTTGCTCTGTGACCTTGGTGATGGGATCTAACATCTCTGGTCCTTACTTTCCTCATAAAGGAATCTGGCCCCGTAAAATTCTGGAAGTGTTTCAGTCCCCCAGGGTCTCCTGTCCCCCTTGACAGAGGGCAAAGCTGCCCGTCGAGGAAGGCCAGGATAACCTTGGAGTGTTCCTCTTCTTGTTGAGAGATTTCGCCACAGATTTCATCATTTTTAACACGTTTTAAGAGAATAAGGGCAATAACAGGAAAGAGACAAAATGGAGCTTTACCATAGAAATTCAAGCCCTGCTCTGAGTCTGTCTCTCCCTGTTGTTTTTTTTTTTTTTTTTAAGATTTTATTTATTTATTTTAGACAGAGGGGAAGGGAGGGAGAAAGGGAGGGAAACATGGAAGTGTGGTTGCCTCTAGCGTGCCCATTATGGGGGACCTGGCCCACAACCCAGGCACGTACCCTGACTGGGAAGGGTCTGCAGGCCGGCGCTCAGTCCACGGAGCCACACCAGCCAGGGCTCTCCCTGGTGTGCCAGCCACCACCACGATCCCGAGGGAGCCAGCAGCTGGGCTTCTTTGGAATGGGATGATAGATGGTCGGTTCATAAAGTTGGGTGATGCACTAGGCTGGCTGAAAACCCTTTTCTTTTTTTCCCAGAACCACTGACTGACAGTTCCCAAAAGGGCCAGAAATGAAGAGAGAGATGTTAAGATGGTGTTGACATCACTGGGAAAAAACAAATGCCAAAAAGATTTAGTTGACATTCTTGCCATTTAATAAACCAGAATGCTTCAGAGTTGAACATTTCACATGAAAATGGGATATAGAATCCACAAATTAAATTTTCGTTGCAATCAGCTTTTTTGACGGAAGCCATAGTGGTGGCCGTGAGAGAGAGAACTACCCAACTCAAGCCCTTCAGCCGTCCCTCACCCATGTCATCTCCTTGGCATGACTTAGCCTCCGGTTCAGAGCTGGAAGGAATTCAATAAAACAAGATATATTGTTATGGTTTCTTACGTCAATGTGGGGCGGCGGGGGGAGTGACTTAGAATCCAGACAATCAGCTCTTCAATGCTATCCTCCACTGTTTTGTCAAGGTTCTAAATGGAGCGTCATCTAGGACTCAAGGGGCCGTATTTCAAGAGTTCCCAGAAGTGCCACCTTCCCCCCTTTTGTAGAATAACAGGAAAAGACGTGCTTTGAGCACAAACAATCTGTTCAGCTCTCCCAGCTTGGATCAGGAGAAATGTTTGTTTCCCGAAGCGTATCTTTCCAAAGCTTTGTTAGACGAGAGGCTGAGGATTTGGAACACTCTCGTCCCACACCTGGCCTGTTGAAGCAGCCCTCACAGGTCCTTCCGTCACCCCAGCTTTCAGGTTTTGCTTTAGGGAAGACATCGCTCCATTCACAGTTAGATGTTGCATGCTCCCCCAGCCCCCGCCTTTCCCCCTCTTGTCTTTTGTCTTTTCCATGCTGTTAGCATGCACTGAAGGAAACGGTAATTCCTTTGATTCTTTTATTTTTAACAAATCCGTGTTATTTATTTACTTTTCAATAAGTTTAAATCCTCGAGGGTACAGCATTACACGGATTCTGTGCCCATGCCTTAGCAGGAAGGCTGCTTCAGAATTAGCAGGAACCAGGCCAGAGTTTCCACGAGCACGAGCTACCCCTCCCCAGATGACTCTGGTTTTGTTCGGTTTGCCACAGGGAGTCATTGTGCTGTTCTTCGCTTTGTACATGTAAGCACATCTCTTACCAAGAGAGAATTCCATTTCATCTCGAGCATAAACACCTTCAGTTTTAAGAAGAGCTGTGTGCTCCCTCTGGTCCCGAGACCCTGCTGGCAAAAATGGCCTCAGACCACAGCCTTCCAGATGTACTTGTCATTGTAGAAGTCCTGTTCCCGGCAGGCCCCCAGGCTCCAAGATGGCAGAGAAGGCAATTCCTTTGCCTCTGAGAGATAGAGCTTCTCCAGGATTTCACGCTGTTTGTACCTTTCTGTCGTAAGATTCAGCCTAGTCTCTCTGCAACGCCACCCGCTGGCCCAGGGTAGCACCTGCTGCTGCCCGATGGTGTGTTGAGTGGTAGACCCTGCTCTTGGAGTTCGGTGTTCAGAGCTTGGGGTGTAATTGTTGGGTATGACTGTTGTCTCCTTTCTCTTTGGTCTCTGTTTGTCTGGATCTCTGCCTCCCCTCATCGTGTCTTGTGTCACCTAGGCCACCCAGACCCAGCACAAAGTGGCAGCGAAGCACACTGCAGACGTGCGCTTCCCGTTCCATTTCCATTCCCTGTGGTTTTGTCCAGGACCGTGTCATCATTCGGGGCTAGTGTGTCTCCTTCCCCTTTGAAACACCGGCCAAACTCCCTGCTCTACACGGACAAAGTAGGCCTCAGGCCATTTTTTAAATTACAGTTACTGTCGATATTGCAGCAATGCTGATTTCCTATTTATATATAGTGATAGAAAATGTCTGTTTTAATATATTAACAGAAAACTGTAGGTGAGTTGTAGTACGGACAGCACCCAGTCGTGGCCAAAGTCCCAAGGATGTACCATGGATGACTGAGGTTGGGGAAGCCCTCCTCTAAGGGGCCTTTCAGGATGTGGAGAGCTCTCTCCATAAGATAGCTCCACTTACCCACCGTTTGCTCCTTTCTCTGCTCCAGGCATGGACCCTGAAAAACTAGAGCGAATCCAGCTCCCGGTGCCCAGTGTGGCTGAGAAGACCATTTACAACCACCTGCTGGCGGAGAGACTCATCAGGATCATGAACAACGCTGCCCAGCCAGGTACCTGGGGTGTGTTGACCGTTCACTGGGGCGGTAGAGTTAGAGGGACCGGGCCCCCGCACTCTGAGGCCATGGCCCGTCGGGTGGTCCGGGCAGATCTCAGCCACTCCCTCCGCTACGCACACACGTACCCTGGGCCACCCGTGCCCTTCCTGTCCTGCCGTGTCTTCATCTCTGGGTCTTCTCTCTTTCTTTTTCCACTGTGGTTTTTGTGCCAGAACCTGTCTTCTTTCTCCTTTCATACTCAACCCTTCTTTTGCCAGTTTTGCCAGTGTCTGCAGCCCTCATCTTGAGGTAGCCCAGGGTCACATTTGAGCTTGGACTGGGCTGACAGTGTGAGGGAGGGGGAAGAGTGGAAGGTTGCGGTCAGGTGCTTTTCATAACACAAGATGTGCCCCGTGTCTGGCCTTGTCAGCCTAGTTCTGAGGTTTTAGCCAATACCAATCTACTGCCACAGAAGGACTAGAAATAGCAGGGAGGACGATCTAGCACAGTGATTCTCAGCTGGGGACAGCCTTGCCGACCCAGGGACATTTGCAGTGTCTGGAGACAATTTTGGGGTTGTCACAGTTTGGGGACGTGTTACAACTGGGTGTTACTACCCATGTAGTGGGTAGAGGCCAGAGATTCTGCTAAACATCCCACAGTACACAGGATAGCACTGCAATGAAGGATTATCTGACCCAAGATGTCAACATTGCCAAGGTTGGGAAACCCTGACTGCAAGGCAGTTCTGTGCAGTCAGGGAGAGAGGCCATCAGGTTGGAATGAGTGCACAGGAAGAGGCCCTACTCAGATGTGGTGCGATTGAGGGAACCGCTCAGCTAAGCCATCAGGAGCAATCCAGGAATGGCCCAGGTCAGGCTCAGAATAAGGGCAGGGACAGGGGTTGTGATGGCTGAGAGGACTTTAGAAATAAAGGAGCATGGCTCCAAGATGTGACCAGAAGCACAGGGGGTTGCTGGGGAGTGAGTGCAGGATCTTGGAGAGCCAAGTTTATAGCCTCAAGGGTGACAGCAGGGGGTCAGTAAATTCACCAATTGTTTATTGAGCTACCCCTGCATGTCAGCTACTGTGTATGGGTGACAGGGGTACTGAAATGCAGGACAGACATGGCTCCTGTCCTTCAGGAGCCACAGCCAGGGGTCTGTGAAGTCCTGGTAGTCCGGGACTCCTTGTGGAGATGTAATCTGGAGCTCAGAGGGGCATCAGGGCCAGAACTAACACTCTGGGGCTCACAGACATGTGGATGGTTTTTAAAGCCACTGGAGAGAAGAGAGGCATGTGTAAGACCAAGCCCTGGGCCACTACAGGTATCTGGACATGACCTACAGGGGAAGCCGGCACAGGAGCCTGAGCCAGGCCCCACGAGGGAAGAAGAGGAGCAGGATGGGGGTGTCTTGAGTAGCAAGAAAGATGTGTGTGGCTCAGGACCAAGGGTGCTCAGCAGGGTTAGTTTGTGCTGAGAGGGCCAGTCGGCAAGGCAGAGTCTAGCCCTGAGGGTGGTGGCCAAGGGGGCAGTTGGTAGGAGCTGTGTGAACAAACGTGGCTTTGTGGTGGAGGAAGGCGGACTTGTGTCTTGGATGTTAGGAGAGGAACCTCCAGGGTGGGGAGGGACAGCGGGTGGGCTCCTTGAAGGCTGGCATATAAAACTGCCTGGATTTCTGAAGAGAAGAGGTTGGGGCAGCTCATAGGGACGGTCTGGAGCTGTGATGAGGACTAAGGAGCTTGCTGCTCCTTGTTTCCCTCACAAGACAAGCCCAGTTGGAGGCAGTCAGCTCCTTGGCAGGAGCTTATAAAGGGAAAAGGGTCTTGGTGGAAAATCACATTCCATTTCCCCGGAGGCAGCAGAAGGGGTGTTTCTGACAGGGCCGACAGCGTGGCTCAGTGGAGGGGCAGGCAGGAGTGAGGCTGGGCTCTGCAGAAACTGCTGGACTCAGAGGAGGGCAGGACGTGGGTGCCGCTGGGGCAGGGCAGCAGCACAGCAGTGGGGTTGGTTCTGGGCCGCCAGGTGGGGCTGCGGCAAGGAGGAGGACTGAGCTGAGACTAAGCAGCCTTTTTTCATGTGGCCCCTGGGTTTGTATCATGCTTAGGAAGGCCTGTTTCTGCTTACATATAGCCTATTCATCCTTGAGTAAATGATTCCCTCTTCTCCGTTTCCCGCCCAACACGTGAGGCCTCAAAGGTCGAGCAGGGGGCCAGGCGGCAGTGCATCCGCCCTGAGTTTTTCCCAGTGGCCCATCTTGGTCCCTGCTGTTTCTGAGGCCTCACGGTCATGGCCTGGCCTGAAAACTCAGTCCTCTTCTGGCCCTTCTTCCACATCGAGACATCTCCCCAGAACTGAGCTAAAAGCCCAGGGACGGGTTTGCCTTTCAGACAGATGCTTCTAAGAACAATGCCAAGCGTGGGTTTTTGACATTCGGCACACTTGGGGTTCACCACTGCCCAGGGTGAGACTTCGGACACTTCCCTCTTCTAAGCCTCAGTCCATAGCACCCACTGCAGTTGATTTGTATAGAGACCACTGAGGGAGCATCTGCAGAGTACTCAGCCGGTGCCTGGCTCACAACAAGACTGGGTACTGCTTCACTCAGAATTTGGTTACAATTGAGAGAAACCCAACTCAGACTGGCTGAAACAGTTCAAACAGAAACAAAACTGTTGGCTCATGTAACTTTGTGTTGAGTACTGTCTTCAGGCACAGCTAGATCCAGGGGTTCAAACAATGTTTTCAAGACTGTCTTTGGACTCTGCAGCCAGCAGCTTCAGCCATCTCTTTCTCTGTTGGGGCCTCAGACTTGCTCTAGGAGAGGCACTCTGGATACTCTGGTGGGAAAGGAGGTGTGGGGCTCAATTTGACGAACATTTTACAAAAGATTGAGAACACTGGTGAGAATGGGGATGTGGCCACTGTGGACTATAATGTTTATGCCACTGAGGGTTCCTCCTCTGTTCCTGTCCTCTCTGCCGGAAGCCCAGCGTTTCCAGCAAGTTGTGGGATTGAGCCTTTCTAGCTCAGAATGGCTCCCTTACCCATCCCTGACCCAGTCACTGTGACCAGCCTGGGTGATGTGCTCACCCCTAGGATCACATGTGCAGTGGTGGAGCTGGTGGTTCTCCAAAGGAAATTGGGGCTTCTTGCTCCTGAAGAAGAGGAGGGAATATTGGATAAGCAGAGCAACCACAGACAGCTCCTTTCTAGACCTATAGTAATAATTAAGTGCCTTCTTTTTCCTGCATACACTCTCCCCATGAAAAGACTAAAGGAAAGTATAAGGTCTAGGCAGTTTTAATGGGAATATTTAATTACAATTTACTGGAAAAAGGGTTTCCGAGGGTCGTACCCACTGGATGTCAGGGGCCTTGAGCAGTCAGCTGATCAGCTGACCTGTTAACCTCAGAGCCAGAAGGCAAGAAGCTCTGATTAAGGGCATGTAGCGCTGGATGTGTGAGGCTGACCCCAGTGTGCTCTGCAGATGGGAAGATCCGGTTGGCGACACTGGAGCTGAGCTGCCTGCTCTTGAAGCAGCAAGTCGTGACTAGCATGGGCTGCATCATCAAGGACGTGCACCTGGCCTGTCTGGAGGTGAGGGCCCTCTCCACTCCCAGTGCCAGTGAGCCACGGACACCTGGGAGAACGAGAGGGATCCCTGGTCTGTGGCGTCCACAGCACCAGCAAGAAGAAGCTGGGCCCAATAGCCCTGATGCCCACTACGTCCTGCTTGTTCCCACAGAACTTCCCTTCCACTGGAATTGGCTTGATGAGCCTGCTTAATTAGTATATTTTAGTAGTTTCTCTTATGACTGTTTGGCTTGTATGTGTCTCCATGTTTAAAATTGTTTTCCTTTTGTATTATAAAACATGTATACATATTTATAGTTTATTGTACTAATGTCTACATTTATTGTTTTAAATAGCTCATCTTGTTTTCCACCTTATTTTCCATATTTATTTGAGAAAATTTAGAAAGTACAGTTGTCAAAAATAACAACTGTAGTTGACACTTCGTTGTGTCTTTCCAGGTACACACAGATACTCACTCACACTTTTTTTTAATAAGAAGTGTCACTGTGACCAGGTTTTACAACCCACTGTCCCCCACTTGTAACTATAGTAACACTTTCCACGTCACATCGAATCACATACCCTCCACTCATTTTTAATTTTGAGCTCTCTCCCCTCTTTCTCCTTTCTCATTAAAAACTGTTTATAGATTAAGGATGTTAGCCCAGCATCTGTCGTATGTACATTCAGGTTTTAGAATCAGTAATTTACCCCATTCCCTTGCCCCAGGAGACCTGGCTCCCTCACATCTTCCCTCCCTTTTAACAGGGTGCGAGGGAAGAAAGCGTCCACCTCGCGAGGCACTTTTATAAGGTAAGGCGGCGGGGCCCGGGGGTGACGGCAGCGTGGTGTGCAGTGTGGAAGCGGGGTTGTAGGTCCGGCCCTCCTACACACGGGTCGCATGTCTTCAGTCATTCCTCTCCCTGTAGTTTCAGAGTGAAAATGCCCAATTTCGTGGTCCCCCGAGCAGGGGGTCTCAATTTTTCTGCCCGTGCCCCCTTATCAGTGTGACTCGATTTCAAAGACTCACCCCTAGTGTGAGCAATTTGTTTATCAATTTGATATGAATTTGTTTCTGGATGAATTCATATGTAAATGATGAGTTATATACATACATCATGTGTGAGTAAATTATACATATAAATTTATGTGCTTATGAATGGTATGTGCTTATACATATAAAAGTAATTTTGAATTACACATGAACTTATAAATTGTATACATATATATTACTATATTCATGTATGCTGAGAAAACCCATACAGGCTCCCAAACATTTGTCATTAAGTTTAGTGAGATTTTTGTCAAGAACCACCATGACTTTTCCATATCTGAAAAACTGGTAGGTTTGTCTTTGGATTCCAGATGATTATTAGTGTTGAAATATCTCAATGTGACAGCTTTGTCTAGCTCTTCTCTTAAAGCGTAGTACGTTCTTTGGCAAGGCTCACCATTCGTCGGCGGTAGTGGGCTGGTCCGTATGTCAGGCCTCCTAGGAGATTTCTGGTTTTTTGGCCTCCGTGTCACGTCTCTCCAGGTCCGGTTAGTGATGCTCTCCCCGCGTCGTTTAACTGGTGAAGAGGTCCTCTCAGGAGATGGTGTCAGCACTGCCATTGTCTTGTCACCTGTGCTTCATTTTGTGTATTCTCTCTCAGCTGCTGTCAATTATATGCATGTGTGCAAGGAGTCTGCTTCTTTGTAGGACACTCTTTAAGCTGGTGTCCGTTACTGTCAGTGTTCAGCGATATAAAACTAGGTCATGTCACCCGGAGGTCCACCTGGCCAGGGTCAGATGACTGCATGCAGCTGCGAGACAGTGGACATGCCCAGACCAGGACAGCAACACTGCGGGCCCCTGTGCCCTAGGGAGGAAATCCCAGCCTCCCCTTGGACTGTCCCAAACCACGCATGGCCTCTAAGTGAGGATGCATGTCCTCTAGCAAAGCTTTGAGGAAGGTAGATGTCTCACAACTGCATTAGTCATCTTCGAATCTCCAGTATAACTGTTTTTGGTGTATTTCCCCCCTAGAAGCTTTTAGATCGCAAAAACAGTAGTAGGCATTTTCCCTAGTGGTTTTTCTTTATCATTAACAAGAGGAGAGCTATACAGTGGGTTCTCAAATAACATTCTGTTCAGTGTCACTCCGTTATAATGTTGGGAGGAAAAAACATCTGTTCTTAGACAGTGGCGGGCCACTCTCTGTATGGAGGTTGCACAGGTTTCCTCTGGGGACTCCAGTTTTCTCCCACATCGCAGGGATGCGCATGGGAGGTGAACTGGCGGCGTGTCTGCACTGTTTCAGTCTGAGTGTGGGTGTGTGCGACTGGCCCTGTGACGGAAGGACGTCCTGTCCAGAGTGGAGTCCCGCTTTGTGCCCTGAGCTGCCAGGACAGGCTCCAGCCACCTGCAACCCTGAGCTAGAATAAGCGAGTTAGAAGAGAATGATCTGACTTTACTGTGGTTAATGTTTTTTAAATGTTCAATGTTAGAAGGGTTTTGGGTTTTTATTTAGAAGTTTGGTGATGTTTTTGTGACCAGAAATATGCTATTGGAACTTAACTCTTATTTATATCAGTCAGCCTGTAGTAAAATTGATTTCATTTTATATCTTCTCACTGAGAGTTACAGTTTCCTAGAACCTATCGATGACGTTAAGTGAGGACTTGGCTGTATCTGAATTGTAGCTCCCTTCTCCCGACCCAGCTTTCTCTCTCTTTCAGCCTATAAGGTTTACACCTAAGTATAATCTCAGAAGCTTTTGGGTTTTCAGGGGTTCTTATTTCTGTGGTTATTGCCTTGTACTTATACCATGCAAGAATATTCAAATTTTTCTGTAAAGAAATGTCTCTGTTCATCTGAAAACTGGAAAATATCTAAAGGACCTATCACTGTTCCCAACCTGACTGTGTGTGTGTGTGTGTGTGTGTGTGTGTGTGTGAGAGAGAGAGAGAGAGAGAGAGAGAGTTAGAGAGAGCAAACTCATGACAGAGAGAGAGATTCGGGACTTAGGAGAGAGATGGAACAGTTCTAACAGTCATGATGTATCTCCCTCCCCTCCCTAGCTGTGGGTCCGTCCAGCAGCGATTATAATGACTGTAAGCGCTAACACTTACCAGCCCTGATCAGGTGGCAGGCTCTTGGTTCAGCATTTTATGTGCGTTACCTCATTTCATCTTCACAAAGACCCACACAGACATGGGCTGTCATCCCAGCCTTGCAGCAAAACAAAGAGAGGCTCCGAGAGGTGAAGCTGGGATTTGGCCCCTGGTTTATATGTCTCAGAGCCAAGTTCATACCCACTACCCTGTTCTGAGAGGGACCTTCTGGACCGTCCTCAGGGCTGCAGGAACTACGAAACCTCAAAAACGAATGGAACAAGCCTGTAATTTCGGTGTTAAGCATGTTTAATTACACTCTTCCTTGCAGAGGTGTGGAGCCTCATCATTTTAACACGGCAGATTAACCAGGGTTCTCCTTTCCTCCACCCTTCTCAGCAAATAAAGGATGTTAAACACTTGAAATGTTAAGCATTTTAATATTTTAATTACGTATGGTGTTATTTTTGGTTTCTGTTTTTTAACTAACCACCTTGGCATAATAAATTACATGATGCTTTAGAAAGGGGAACATTGAGAGATGCAATTTAATATCCAGGCTTTCATTTGAGTGTGTGTGTTCGTGTTCACGTGTGTATTTTGCTTCCTGGTGATTTACGAGAACTCAGTAATGAGAAACAGATGGACCCAGAAGCCATGAACTGGAGTTTATAATACTTTGTTGTTTATGGAAAAAAATATGCATGATTTTCTCTCCTCTCTTCCTTTCCTTTTAGGGAGAAGAAATTTTTTTGGACATGTTTGAAGATGAGTACAGGAGCATGACAGTAAGTGAGGGGTGAGAAGGCACCTGTGTGCCTGCAAAGCTTGCCCTTTCCAGTGGGGAGAGAGACAGAGCACGCGCTCTGACCGGGGGCTTTCTGCCCAAATGGCAGAGGTCAGTGGGAAGGCAGATTGGAGATGGTGATCCCTGTCACTGCGAAAGCTTCAGAGGATATTCACACCCCCTGAGCTGCCCTGTGTCATAAAATGGGTCCGAAAGATTCAGTTTGATATGCATAGTATTCGACTGAGGACTTATTCCACATCAGACGTGGAAAGCCTGTTACACGTTAAAGCTCTTAATCCCCACGTCAGCCCAATGGGACACCTGCTACCTTTAGCTCCTTTTACTGATAAAGAAACGGGAGTCAGACTGAGTGAGGTGCGCACATGTGCCCAGCCAGTGAGGGGCAGAGCAGCTGGCCTCCCGGTTCCCTTTTCTTCGCTGTATATTGTGCCATGCCACTAGAACGTTCTGGAGTGTTCTTGGATCTGCAGTACCAGCCCGGAGCCTTCTTTTTCTCCGTGCAGCAGGCAACACTGTGGGACAAGCTAGGTTCAGAAGGTGGCAGCTTTCTGCCTTTTTTCTCTGCATCCCCAGCACCTGCCCCTTAGCTGACACTCAATAAATAAATGATAAATGATCCTTTTCATGGCCATTACTCACCAAAGAATTAAGTGATTTGGGAAGTTTATAATAAACCCGAGTGTTTAAAGTATTCAAAAGAAAAAGGCAGCAGCATGCATTAAGTGGCTTCTTGGCTTCTGGGCCCATTCACCTCGTTTCTGGACAGCTGGGCCCTCACCACAACCTTGCCCTGTTTAGTTAGCTTACGTTACAGGAGGGACAAAAAATATGATATGGTCAAAGCTCACATTCTTAAAAATAAGACAACAAATAAGTTTGATGCTCTAAGGAGTAAAAGGAATTCTATAGGAAATCTGCCTCTGTGAAATATCATTCCTTTATGATGCCAGGTGTAAATGAAGTGTCATCGTCCAACATGCATACATTAAATGGTCAGTACTAATGCAGGAGAGTACTTGGAGGGGGAGGGGTGAGATAACAGGCGTCTTAGTAATCAGGGAGGGCCTTGTGGAGTGCCGTGGAAGGAGGAGTCAGCTCTGCCCCGTCCGGCCCAGTGGTATGGACATCTATCTGCCCTTCTGCAGTATTCCCCTCTATAATATGGGACGGCACCAGCGCCTGCCATTTAGTGGGAGCTGAGCCCTGCAGTGCCTGGCACTTAGTAGATGCTCAATAAGTGGTTTTGTTATATTATCCTCCAGTAAGATGCTGAGGCGACCAGGAAGGAAGGGGGGATGCTGGTCGTGTGGTAGAAATCATAAGAAGTCTAGAGCCAGTGAGCCTGGCTCTGCGTCTTGGTTCTGCCACCATCTAGCTAAGTGGGCCTGGGTCCGTTCCTTAGCTTCTCTGAGTCTCTTTTTTCTCATTAGCAGATTGGGAAGCATTCCCTCTCGTTGTTGGGAGGATTAAACAGGATCATACATGCAGAGCCTTCAGCTCACCGCCCGGACCGTAGTCAGCTCTACTCAGTGGAAGCTGCCATCACTGTTTTGTCGCAATTGGAAATAGAGTAGAAAAAGAGTCAGGCAGCAGTCAGGCACACACACGGGGCAGAGCACCCTAAAGGGACCACTGTAAGGGTACCAGCCTCTTCCTGAGGGGCCCCTCTCCCTGCTGAGTGGAGGGGAGTGAGGATGAGAAAGCAAAACTCTTCATAGCAGGGAGGCCACTTTTCAAATGGAGGCAAAATTTGCACCTTGGAGAAAACAAAAAGGGCGCATCTCCCACGTCTCTGGCTGCCTCGAGGCTTCACCTCAGTCTTACTTAATCCAGGATTCGTGTGCTCATTTACCATGTGCAGATGAAGGTGAAAGGCCTGTGTGAGCAGCCTTGTCCCCTTCTCCCTTCAGTGAGGTCTGTAATGTCTCTCTTCCAGATGAAGCCAATGAACGTGGAGTATCTCATGATGGATGCCTCCATCCTGCTGCCCCCCACAGGCACACCACTGACAGGCATTGACTTTGTGAAGCGGCTGCCATGTGGCGACGTGGAAAAGACCCGGCGGGTGAGTGAGCCTTGGACCTGGCCTTCTGGACAGCTGTCTGCCAGGACCACTCACAGAGCAGGGAGGAGAGGGTCTCTGATCAGGTCAAGAGTCTGCCTTCCCACACGAGTTCAGATAGTAGGGACACAGACAACACCTCCAACACCCTGCCAAGAAGAGTAACTTCCCAAAGCGTGCTGCCCTCTGCTGAAGCAGAGACTGAAATCCCGTTGCATCTGGCACCGGATGTGGGTTGCAGGCAGGCTGCCTTTGCTGGTGCAGGCCAGCCCTGAGCTGCGGGAGAGGAAGCCAGGGGGCTGGGCTTCTGCGAAGAACGTGGGGGAGTAAGCAGAGTCAACGCAGTGCAGGTGAGGCTGGTGTGGGATCTTAGCCCACACAGGCTCGGGACACCCCGAGATGGAGTGGTGTTAAGGTATCTGAGAGATCTTGGGTGAGGCACACGCAAACGAAATGGTGGTTCTTGCCGACCTGCGGGAGAGACCTGTGTGCGAAGGGCAGATTAGTTCTCAGAACCCAGCTGGAGTGTGCGCTTCCGTTATCAGCATTTTTTTCTGATGCAGTCTCACAGGGCTGTTCATGGTATTTTATCACCCTCATAATATTACACTTACTTTCTTAGAAAGCACCATAGCCTTTTCCTAGAAAATCATTCCCTGGAGACATGAATGTTAGTGGATGAATTAGTGGAACTCACTGCACTCAGCTCTCGTTATCAACCTGCATCTTCCTCTGATTTAATCTGAGTGTACAGAGCAGTTGAGGTGTTTAACTTCTGGATTATCAGAAGCAGGAGGGACCTACTTGATCCACCTCAGACCGGAGGGTTCTGTGGCCTTCCTCCGCCCAGCCGGCTATTTTGCTGCAGAGGCCTGGTGGAGCAGAGGAAGTGGGACCTGTGCGTCTCCAGTCAATCCACGTTCCTTGTGTCTGACCAAACCCACAGGCCTCACCACAGGACACACCCTGGCCGAGCCAATGACGCCTTCCTTCCTTGTGCTCCCAGCCACTGCTGCAAGCCCTGCAGTGGGCACACGACTGTGTTTGTGGGTGGCAGTGTTTGCACAGGGCATTTTTGGCACCGGCTTTTACAAGAAGACTGGTTCTGATGAGTGTGAGTCAGAACCTCGCTGACGAGTGTCAGCGACTCCTTCGTGATGCAGGAACACTCACCCTTAGCCTTGGGTTAGCCCAGGAAGCGCTCCCCAGCAAGGTCGCAGTGAAGCTGCCCACCTGAATAGGATGTAGTGTCCCCAGGCCAGAGAGGACTCTGTCCCCAAAGCTCTCCTTGTCCCTTGAGCCAGAAAGTCCCAAATGCTGTGAATGCTAAGAGCCACTGCTCTGAGTTGTATCCTGCCTCCTCTCTGTGTCCTGGTCCATCGGGCTTGGTTAACACTTATACGAGCTCCCATTCTTTGATATAAAGCAGATCATTCATAGCAGTTCTTTATATGAATTTCCTCATGTAATTCTACAACGGTCCTAGGAGGTTGGCATTATTATTATTATCCCCATCTTACAGAGGAAGAAACTGAGGCATGAAGAGGTCAAGTGATTTGCTCAAGGTCACCCAGCTAATAAGTAGTGGAGCCAAGATTCCGCTCGGTTGGGGTGGCCTCCACAGCCACTCTGACCCCCTGCTTCCCACTGCTACCTTCATTGTATGTATTAGCCCTACTTGGCACTGGACACCGGGGAGATAAAAAACACAGCCTCAGGCTTCAAGGAGCCAGAGACTACAAGGCAAGGTGGGAAGAGGAAGAGTAAATCCATGTGGCTGGGGCCATTAGGAAAGGAACATGGGGTCAGGTCCCTAATCCTACCTGGGCGGGGAAGTGGAGCAGGCACCAGAGGGATGTGGCACATTCCAACACCTCCAAGGAGGCTGTGGCTGGAGCCAGAGTTTGGGAGGCTACGTGGAAAGTGATATGTCTGGAGGGACTGGAGGAACCAGATCTTGAGGGTCTTGGAGCCCAGCAAGAACCTTGGCATTGCATGTAGATTCCTGACGTTATGCCCTGCTGGCTTAGAGCAGACAGTCCTGATGCACAGGAGAGAATGGGAGAAATCCAAGGGTGAAGCGTATGGCAGAGGAAGGGTTGCTTGGGCCTTGGGTTCCTGCTCCCTTCTAAGCCACTCTCTCTTTGTCTAGAAAGCAGCATGAGCCTACCTTGCCAGAGTTAGTGTGCGGACTCAGTGAAAGGCAGAAGCACTGAAGGCCAGGGGCAGTTCTTGATGTCAGGGGCTTGCTTCTTTTTGCCCCTCATATCTCAGTTAGTTGCAAGTTCCCAGGGCTATGCTGCCCAAGTCCCTTGCCCCAGATGGATTGCACAGTCCAAACTGCCATCTGAAGCACAAACAGCCGCTGGGAACATCTTCCCTGGCATCTCTTGGTTGCCCTTTGTCTGTCTGACAAGTTTATAAGAGCAACTCTCCTGTACCAGGGTCTGTGGGTTTTGAGGCAGGGAGAAGGTGGCAGAGTGATATTAAAATGGGGCTGGCTACCTCCAAGCACAGTCTAAACAAAGCTTCCCCTTGCAACTTTAATAATCAATTTCTTTCTTTTTTTTAATTTAAGTATAGTTGGAATACAATATTAGTTTCAGGTGTATAGTACAGTGAAGAATCCGTTTTTGAAGGGGAGTTTCTGCCCCTCACCTCAGGCCCATTCCTGTTGCAAGGTAGCTGTCTGGAATCCTCTAGAAGCTTAGCTCCTCAGCCCATTTCGGGCATCGGAACAGAGCAGTGTGCTGTGAATTTGAGCTTAAGGAAGTGTATGGTTTAGCAAGCAGTTGAGGGCTTCTGTGGTTTCAAGTTCTTTGCTTGTATCCAAAAAACATTCCATTTCATCCTTTTGGATTCAAAAGTTTTCTTTTTGTTTTTTCTACAGACTGGACTTTTCTAACTTTTAGGAGGCTGAGCCTTTCAGAAATCCCACCTTTATTTTCCTTAAAAACTTTTTGGAGAAGTTCAAACAACATGACTAGTAAATTATTGCTAACTTGTAAAATATTCCTTCATACATTCATCAAAGAACCACTAGATTCCTATGCCAAATGCTGTGTGTGGGGGCGCAGAATGAATAGGGAAAGTGTCCCTGCCTTCTGGATCTCACATGAAGTCAGGAGAGGTAAAGTTTATTAACAAGTAAGTGAGTGACAAGTTTGTCATCACACTGCAGTGCAGGCTCCGAAGGAAAGAGGGGCGGCACTCCTCTAAAAACAGGACAATCAGGAAAGGCTGCTCTGCCAAGGTTGAGACCTGAGCTGAAACTGAAGAGTGGGAAAGAGCCAGCCATGCAAAGGCTTAAAGGAGGCACTTTCCAGACCGCGGAACAGTGAGTGTGAACTTCCCAAGATGGGACCGAGTACAGTGTGTCAAGGAGCAGGATAACGAGCGGTGGGTGAGGGGGAAGGGGGAGGGCAGGGGGACAGGAGAGGAGGGTGGCAGGGTCTCGCAGGCCGTGGCGAGGCATCTGGCAGTCAAGGCATGTTTTCCCTCTTGTATTTTGAAAATCATACTACATATTTATCCTTCCATTTGACATATTTATTGAGCTTTTGCTAGGTGCCAGGCACTGTGCAAGATGTAAGAATAATAGACAGAGGAACAAATAATATAAAAACGACCAAAATAGCAAGACTGCCACTGAGCCATGGTGGCTGAGAAGGGAAATTCGTGTTGAAATGAGGGTCACTGGCACGAGTGGGGTCTGATGAGAGCATGCAAGCAGAATCTTGGACTTGGACTGGACCTACCCCATGTGTAGGGGCATTTGAGAGAAGCAGTTAAGATAGAACACGGGTTCATTCATGAGGCAGACCAACTGAGGTTCAGTACCAACTGTGGCTGTGTGACCTTGAGCAAGTTACTCAATCTTGCTGAGCCTCAACTTCCTTGAGTGTCCTCCCTCTCAGCTCTTGCCCAAAGTAGATGAGAGATTGACTCCGAGGTGACAAGCCCAGTGTCTAGTAGGAAGTAAGCGCTCAGGAAGTGTTGGCTGAACAGTGGTGGAACATTCTAGCATCTTAGGTGGGAAAGAAATAGTCTCGATGTAAATCTACTGTAGGTTAATACTAGGGGAAAGAATGCTAGGGAGAGGATTGTTCTGGTGAATATCAGAACTGAATGTAAGTCACTGGCCCTCATTATGTAGTAATCTTGTAAACCGTTATGAAAATAAATTGTTTGCCTAAAGTTTGACTTGCCCCTTCATTCTGCTTCCCTGTTCTCACGCAAAAACCACAAACAATTTCTGTTTATCAGTAATGACTTTGAGAAAATAAGATATTTGGCTTTACTCTTTGGATATGTATTCCACATTAAAGAAAATACAGTAGTATCTCATAAAGTTTCAAAAGAATAGGGAGAGAATTTCCCGTAATTTCATCACCGTAAACAGTCGTCACTTAGACATCTTTGGTGTCTCCTCCCTGTCTCTGCAAACACATCTTTCATGGTTTCGGGGGAGAGTGGACCGTGACCTTGCTTTGATCCTCCACCCCTTTCCCTTTTCATTGTAGAACAAGAGGTTTGTCATGTGGTAATACATTTTTAGTAAGTCTAATTTCTTATTGGTAATAAAAGTGTATCTGGTGACTTCTGCCATAATTTACTTAGGCATATTCCTACTGGAAGACATTTTGGTTGCTTGCAGTATTACATTATTTTCAACTAAACTGTAATGAGCAGCTTCACAGTGTTTTCTTTCTGTTGGCCTATTTCTTTAGGATAAGTTCCCAGAAGTGGAATTTCTAATTCAAAGGGTATGAACATTTTTGTGTGTGTGACTCTCTACATGTTGCCAGATTGCTTTCCCAGTGGGCCGTGCCCACGTTAAAAACTGCTTCAGCACTCTTTTAAGAATGGCTGACTTTCACAGCCATGTCCATGGTCTTGGTGGGCTGCTAACCTGACTGTCGCCTAAACTCAGTGGCTTGCAAATGCAGCGAGGGAAGCAAGGGAGAGGGCTCAGACTGAGCGTTTGACCCACGGCCAACCCCCAGGGCTCTGTGTGTCACCTGTACAATGTCACTGCATGTTCATAGTGGCCCCTTGATCTCAGGGGTGGTGGGCCCTTGTTTCCAAAGCTCGAACCTGAGCTCGGAATTCATGGGACCCCAGGTTGAGTCAGGGTTTGTCTGACTGAATCTGTCCTTCTGCCCCACTAACCAGACTCATTCCCCCAGGACTCTCCTTGTCAGAGTTTGCTTCCATGAGAACTGAAGCAAACTGGAGAAGTCTCTTCTTTATACTTGAGCTTAGTCAGCTGTCACCCCTTTCCAATGTAATCTGTTCTCCAGAGTCAGTCTTCCTGGCATTCTATGGAAGCATCTGAAAGAATAACAATTTCTTTTTAACTTCCCTGTTTATTTAATGAAGTAAAGAAAAGCACTCAGTAAAAGCCTGGGGTGGGTCCTAAGCCTTAAATCTGTTGAAGGCAAAGGCATGTGGTTGGAAGAACATGGACTTAGGAGTCTGGTTATTATTAGAGTCGCCTTGAGCAGGCTGCCTAACATATCTGGGCTTTAGTTTCCTGCCTGTAAAATGGGAACCAAGCAGGTCCTTAAAAGGCTAGAAGGAGATGACACAGCATGGCCCCCACCCAGACCCGGCGGGCTGTGGGTAGCGGAGGGCATGGTTTTTGTTTTAGGGGGCGGTGAGATCAATTTGATGGCCTCTATCCTTGTTCCTTACTTCTTTTGTGGATTCTCGGGGTTGGGTCGCTGGTCAAGTGCTTGTCAGACCCTATAGATGCCCATGGGAGCCCAGCTTTCGCCCACATGGAGCATCCGGCCCTGTGAAGATCTGCCCTCCTCACAGTCATAGGCGTGAGCTTCTCATATACTGTTCCTTCTCTTAGGATTTGGGGCAGGGAACCAGAAAGAGTGTTTTAGGGGGTTCTATTTTCTATTTTACATTCTGCTTTGTATTTATTATTATTATTATTATTATTATTATTATTATTATTATTATTTTGTATCTCTGGAAATACCTGCAGTTTGTTGCTTCAAGAGCAAAAGCAGATATTTTACCAAAAATGTCTGCAGTAGGAGTCAAATTTTAAACTCCTTTTATATTGGAAGGTTTCTGATTTTCAGAATGATAGACAGGCTGTAAGCAGCACACATTTCTCTTCCCTTGTTCCTCATCTAGGGTCATGCTCACTTTCTGCCCGTAGAACCCCGAGAGGAATGGGTTTTTGACAGTGAGATGAAGCATACACTCAGCTTGGACCTGACTGTGATGGGCCTTTTTCCTTCCTTTTTTTTCCTTACCTCCAGGTCATGGTTCCCTATTTTCTCAAACTGACACATAGTTCAGGTGCCCACCCACATCTTGGGCTTTCTGCGCTTGGACTGGAGTGGGCACTTGAATTTCCTCGTGTGCTTGGTTAAGTGACACAGTGTCGGACGTTCCTGGGTTCCAGCTCCAGCCTAGCCACCCAGCAGCTGCATGAACTTAGATTTTTTTAAAAAACAAAGACCAGATCAGCCATCACCACTTCCACCATCATTATCATTACAATATAAAAGCTTATCTTTCTCTAGAATTTAGGGTTGATACAGGGGAATCATGACCTCAGAGTAGGTCCAGGAAGTAGGGTTGTTCTTCCAGTATTTCCCGTGAGATTAAGTAATTCACCCAAGGTCTCCTGCTGCTTCTGGGCCAAGGAAAGACTAGGGCTAGGCCTGCCGACAGGCATCTCTGCTGCTTGGGTCACCAGGAGCCCTTGTTCCAGGAGGTACCTTGTCATAGAAAGGGCAGCCTCTTTTCTCAATAGGCCAGGCCTATAGCCCTCAGAACTGTAAACAAGAAGACAGAAAACTGGGCTGGAATTCAGCTTCGTGTGGCTTGCTGGTGGCGACAGTGGTTTGTCCCCATGCCCACCCCCGTGCCCAGCTGGAGTGACTGGAGTAAAGGATAGCCACCCCTTTACAGAACATGTGCTGGCTGCTCTCCCCTGCCCCCTCGGCTTTATCTCAGGACCTCCAAGGAGCCTGGGGAGGCAGGGACTACCAGCCCCGTTTCACAGGTGACATTGATGCTCTTGGAGGTCAGAAGCCTTACCTAGTGGGGTGGAGCTGGGAGTCCAACACCAGTTATTTATGTCTGACTCCAGAGCTGTTTCCCTGTGGCCACCAGCTAAAGTCTGGAGGAGGCCTCTCCTGGGAGCTGCCCCTCTGCTTCCTGGCCTCTGGTTGGTGAGCAGGTCAGGCCCATCCTGGGACTCAAGGGAAGGATGCCACCAGGGTAAGCTGGCCTAGGGTGAAGGCTGCTTTCTGCACAAACTTCTCTGGCTTCCAGGGCCTGGGATTCTGCTGCTTTTCTGCTCTCTGGAAATGCCTAATGGCCGCACTGGGCTCTGCCAGATACCTCTTCCGCGGGCCAGGAATCCTGGTGCTAATGGAGCCACCTCTGCTCCCAGAGAGCTGGCTGGGGAGGCCTCAGGGGCACTCAGGACACTGACATCCTGGACACCTGCCAGGTGCCAGGTCTGCTGCTCCATCAGTGACACAGCCCTGGTGGAAGGCCAAGGGACTGAGACTTTGGGGTGAAGGGGCTCGTCCAGGGACGTGCAGGGCAGGGTTTTAATTGGGTCTGGCTGGCTCCAAGCCCCACAAGCATCTTCCCTCTTCTGGCCCTGCCCCACCCTTACATTCATTAGGTGGGTCCTTGAATCACTTGCACTCATGATTTGGATTTCTAAATTCCGTGCCGGTTTAGTGGGAAGAGGCCTGATTCTAGCCCTCCCTAGATGTGTGCCTGGGCAGGTCATGTCGCCTCCTTGGGTGTCAGTGCCTTGTCTGCCAAGTGGGGTGCCTGCTGAGCAGTGGTGTCATCAAGGTTACATGACACGAGGGGAAATGTCCTGGCAAATGACAGGTGCCTGGTTGAGGTAAAGTGGTCCAAGCCTGAACCTGTGGGTAACTGAAAAGAGACTGTGCCCTTAATGGTTTTTTTTTTTTTTCCTGTCTTGCTCTGAAAGTACCAGAGCCATGATACTGGGGGGGGGGGGGGGGGGGAGGTGGGCTTTGTTTTGTTTGTTTTTAATCAAATGTCATGGCATGACTTTTCCATGTGGAACATCTCACCAAGATGACTGCGGCCTCACCCTTCTCTGCTCTCTGTGCTGTCCGTTCAGGCCATCCGGGTGTTCTTCATGCTCCGTTCCCTGTCACTGCAACTGCGAGGGGAGCCCGAGACCCAGTTGCCACTGACGAGGGAGGAAGACCTGATCAAGACCGATGATGTCCTGGATCTCAGTGAGTTGACTAACTGAGACATGGCAGGGGTACATTGTCTGCATGACTCACATGTCACTGGGAGGGTCAGTGCATGATCTGCATTTTTGTACTGAGATTAATCCATGACCTTGAGCTGACAGACTGTGTATGTTCCATAAAACTCCCCAATGAGTCCCGGCTGGTATGGCTCAGTGGATTGAACTCCGGCTTGCATACCAAAAGGTCACCTGTTCAGTTCCCAGTCAGGGCACATGCCTGGGTTGTGGGCCAGGTCCCCTGTTGGGGGCATGCAAGAGATAACCAAACCAATTGATGTATCTCTTCCACAATGTCTCTACCTCTCTTTCTCCCTCCCTTCCCCTCTCTCTAAAAAACAAATAAATGAAATCTTTAAAACAAAAAAAAAACTTCCAATGAAAGGGACCTAGATTCTGAGCCTGTGGGTTCTGTTCTCTGAAGACCAGGTAGAACTGTGCAGGTGGTTTGCTCCAAGGTCTGTGTAGTGCTTTGGGAATCCTCAAGCTCCAGGATCCCTGTCCTCCATACAATCATAGCAGCATCAGTTTGATTGTTTTTTTCTATTAAGAGTTTTCTGTATGATTTCAACAATTCTGCTACTTGAAAAGAAGAAAAGAAAGCTTACAAAAATATGTCACCAGCATTTAGGTAGAGATGAAAGCTTTGGAGGCCAGAGAACTACATGCTCAGCCTAAAACCTCCAGCTATTTATTTAACCATACAGTGCCTCAGCTCTGCTCTCTGCAACATGAGACTGATATTTAAAGGAGACAACAGGTGTAAAGCCTAGTCATTTTCCCACCAGGAAGCTACCACCCTCCATCTCAGCTCTGCTTTCCTCTCTTCTGGCTTCATCCTCAAGAGGGCTCTCATCAGGTAGTGACAGTGTCCATCAGCAGCTCCAACTCTGCTGAACCAGCTAAGCAGCCCTGACAGAAATAGAGCTTCTCTTTATGTGTTACAGAAGTCTAGGGCAGTGCTCTCATTGGCCCAACTTGGATCATGTGATCATCCCTGAACCAGTCAGTGATCAGAAGAATGTGATTCACTAATTGGCCAGGTTGGGGTCCCATGCCCACAGCTGGAAGTGGGTCCTGTTACTTTCAAGCCCCATCACTTGAGAGTGAGGAAGAGGGACCCCTCAAGGGAAACTCATAAAGAATATATGGAAGCTGGGCAGGTAGGATCAGCGAATGGCCACTCTCGGTTGTGTACGGCGAGGACCACACAACGAAGAAATTATACTTCAGCTTTATGAAGTGTAACTTACATCCAATAAAATTCGCCACGTTTAGTATACAATTGAATGAGTTTTGACAAAACTCATTCAGTTGTGTGACCAGAGATTAGGATATAGAAAGAACACGGAGGGTTGGCTTTCAAGCCTCCTCAGTATCCCCTTGAGCAAAGGACTGAAACTCTCAGTGTCTGTCTTCTCACCTAGAAAATAGGGATGACCTTCCTTTTTATATTCAAGCTAGTTTTGACACTTGAGTGAAATATAATATGAAATGCAACTTGACCAAGCTTAGTGCCTGGCATATACCTATTCTCAGGAAATTGCAGCCAGTATTACTCACTAATTAAGTGAGGTGATACATATAAAGAGCAGAGCACACTGCCTGACGCACAGAAGGTACTCAGTAAATGATTATTATGAGTCCACTTCGTCATCTAGCTCCTCTTTCTGCTTTTCTTTTTCTTATTTATGTTCTTTTTTCCTTCTTTTTCTTGGAAGAATAAAGAAGCTATGTCCCCTCTGTTCTCTATGCCCATCTCCTTTGGCCCTTTCACTCTTGAGAAGTGGTCACAGAGGGTTCTTTAAGGGTTTAAGTTGATCAGTTTGTTAGAGAGAACTATAAACAAGTTTTTCTCTGATTTGATTCAAGGAAAGAGAGGGAAACAGCTTGCTTGAAAGAGGGCTAGTCTATTCTGTTTGAAAGTAGAATTAAATTTTATGCTGGGAACTCACATTTCCTCCTTCCCTTGCCAAGAATGGCCTACTGAAATAAAGGTTAAAAGTATTGCACTTATCAATTTTAATTTATTAGATTGCTAGTTGAGATCACCTAACTGAGCTTTTTGGGGTAGATGTCCATTAAGAAAGTAATAGCTGTCTGTCTTTACCCAATCCGATTGCAAAGTATGTCTTTACTAAAGAGGATGCCATCCAGAAAGTGCTGGGGATTACGGATTTTACAAGTACATGGTGCTGGAGTAAGATCTGCATGTGTTGTTGACCTTTTTTTCTTTCTTTTTTTTTTTGTTGGTGATTTTAAAAAATTTTTATCGTTATTGTTTTTTTAATACCCAAGGATATGTTTTTTTAAATTGATTTTAGAGAAAGAAGAAAAAACGGGGGTGTGGAGAGAGAGAGAAACAACCATATGAGAGAGAAATATCGATCACTTGCCTCCCATATGCACCCCATTTGGGGATCAAACCCACAAACTAGTTATGTGCCCCGACTGAGGATCAAACCCACAACCTTTTGGTGCACGAGACGGCACTCCAAAGAAATCGAACCACCTGTCCAGGGCATGGTGATTGTTTTTAAATGCTGGAGCTCCTTACCTTCCATTGGGGAAAAATTAGCATGGTTTGCATTTTACAAAATGCCTCTTATATATACAAAATGAAGGAAACACCATAATGTAGGTGAAGGCATTTGTGTTTGCTGAATGATTGGAAGCTGGGCACACTTCTTATGAGCTTAGTGTTTTGTCTCCCTAACAAAAGAAAAAAGGAAGCTGACTCAAGTAGAAATGTTTGGGGTCGGTCGACTTTTATCTGAGGTGATATGATCTGACAGCCTTAAAGGAATCTAGCTCTGCACAGCAGGAAAAGGTGGCTTGGGGTGTATTTACTAAACTTTGTCACGCTCTGATAAGAAACCACAGCTTAAGAGTCCTCAGAAGCTATCTCACGTCTGCTGACCAGCAGCTGGCCTCTAGGCCAGGTATGGCAGGTGAGCTCTGGTGGGGTGGCTTTTGACAAGAAGCATTAAAGATGCCATCAGTCTGTTGAAACTGGAAAAGTTGGCATTGAGCTGTCTGTCACTACTAGAGCCAATAAGTAGAGACAAGGATTGAATCTTATGGGTGCTTTATTCAGATGCTGGCAACCTGAGAAGACAGAGGGTTAGGTACCATCAAAAACCACCTTAACATCTCATTTTCAAACGGACCTCTTTATAAGGAGAAGAAAAGGGTAGATAAAGGGTTTGGAAAAAAGGTCAATCAGTTGAGTTGCAGCCAGCAACAATTTCTCTAGTATTTATCGACTGGTCAGCAATTCTTTATCTCAGATACCATCTCAGTGGATTGCTTGCAGACCCCCGGAGCTCAGAGGTTGAATTGCTTGCTTGTGGATCTCCTGGAGTCACTATTCCAGTTCTTAGAGTAACAGCTTTCCACATGCATTAATCACTTAAGCGTATCAACTATAACTACAGCTAAAATCTGTAACTCTTGAGTTCCCCTACCACTGCTATCACACCTCCTGAAGGAAGCAAACTGTGCTTACAGCCTGATTTGTTTACATTGGAGAAGAGAATGGCAGGGGCAGAGGTCACAAACTGGCAGCTGTGAAGAAGGAAGGGAGGGAGGAAAGAGACAGGGAAGGAAGGGAAGATAGACTAGACTAGGTAAAGTAGATTATATTTTTTACAGAGAACAACATGAATCTCTAAGTAACCAGTCTTCAGCTTTTGCTTCCATAGTATTGCTAAGTCTCATTTTATTTGCCCCATCATTTCTGTTTTTCAAATATGCCCACCTCTTGCAGTGTATTAAAGTGAGTGGAAGACATATTATTGCATCTATAAATACTTCAAACAGATAGTGACTTTCATTAATATATGTAATTGAATTGGTTGCCACCGTTGCAAATCATGAGCTTTTCTAACCCCTCTGCTGCTCTGGGTAGAGCCAGAGGAAGGGGGATGGCAGCCCCCAGATATGGGACCTGTGTTGCCCTGTGTTCTGCCACCTGGCCCCATTGACATTTGATTTTTCAGTCTCTGGTATAGTTGGAAGTAATCAGCTTTGTGACCTTGCTCAGGTTCTTAATGCTTGTGAGGCCTAGTGGCCTTGCCATTAAAGTAGTTCTAGAAGACTTTGCAAGGACTGTGGAAGATCAGATGAGAAAATGCACGTGAAGTACACAGCACTGTGCTTGGTACATGGTAGGTGCTCAGTGAACAAGAGCTGGCTGTCATTCTTGTTGTAGCTGCTGAATAATGACATATAACATACTGTAGGGCACCAATGGGGTGGGCCTTTTCTGCTTTTTAAAAAAATTTATCATTCTTTTATTTTTTTAATAATGTATTTTATTGATTATGCCATTACAGTTGTCCCCTTCCCCCCCTTCATTCCCCTCCACCCTGCACACCCCCTCCTGCCCATCCTGCCCACATTCCCCCCATTTAGTTCATGTCCATGTGTCATAAGTTCTTTAGCTTCTGCATTCCACACTACTCTTGCCCTCCCCCTGTCTATTTTCTCCCCACCCTCTATGCTACTTATTCTCTGTACCTTCTCTCTCACTCTCCTCTTCCCACTCCCCTGTTGCTAACCCTCCTTGTGATCTCCATTTCTGTGGTTCTGTTCCTGATCTAGCTGTCCACATAGTTTGTTTTTGTTTTAGGTGTGGTTGCTAATAACTGTGAGTTTGCTGTCCTTTCACTGTTCATATTTTTTATCTTCTTTTTCTTAGATAAGTCCCTTTAACATTTCATATAATAAGGGCTTGGTGATGATGAACTCTTTGAACGTGACCTTATCTGAGAAGCGCTTTATCTGCCCTTCCATTCTAAATGATAGCTTTGCTGGATAGAGTAATCTTGGATGTAGGTCCTTGCCTATCATGACTTGGAATACTTCTTTCCAGCCCCTTCTTGCCTGTAAGGTCTCTTTTGAGAAATCAGCTGACAATCTGATGGGAACTCCTTTGTAAGTGACTGTCTTCTTATCTCTTGCTACTTCTAGAATTCTCTC